AATGGGTTTCCTAAGTTCTAAGATGATCATGATCAAACTCTCTCCCTATCTCAGTAGAACTACTGCCACACATCCTAGACATGTTTTTTGGCATAAATATAAAGAAAATGATGAAATTTTAGAATTTACCTAAAGAAAGGCTGGTTAAGAAGAAATGTTGTCGAAAAGTGATGAATGCCACCGAAAATCTTGGAACTGTTCTCCAAAAAATAAAATGTATAGAGTATATGTGAGTTTTTAGATTTTTTACAAGTAAAAGGTTTGGAAAATAAAGGTCACCTTGTATAGGCAGAGGTGATGAACCTCAAATGTTAGATCAAATGAAGATCCATTTTGGCCATCCACTTGTCAGCTCTTTAAAGCCATTAAGATGAAACATCAAACACGATCAAAGACTTGGATAAGGCGGTGCATCTCAAACACGTGACCTCAAACCAATGTAGCCATGCACCATCATTAGCAATTATGACCTAAGCGAGACGTGTCTTGGAACTAGGCAACACCTCAATTGGTCTTCTTGGAAAAATGTAATAGATTTCAAATCACTGGTACGAAACCAAAAAACATCTCATCTGTTTAGAGGTTATTTTTAGATCCCTTCACCTCTGCTTACCAGTTTTCTCAAAGCTTCTATCTTTCAGAAGTTTTTTATTAAGAAAATACCTCGCCTCTACCATCATCATTTTTTCTCAAAGCCTCTATCTTTCAGAATCTCATGCTCAAGCAAGGACCTCATTGCTGCCATCACAGCTTTTCCCAAAGCTTCAAACTTTAAGAGCCTCGTGTTCTTTCAGTGCCTCATCCTCAAGCAAGGATCTCGCCTTTACCATTATAGCTTTTCTCAAAGCCTCTATAAATCATTGTCTCATCCCTAATTAAGCAACTCAGGTGACACCCGAGTCCTAAAACCCGAGGGCCATAATAGATAATACATAAAAGAGGACTTATTTAAGATTCATTTCATGAATTGAGAAAGTCAACTAAAAAAAATAATTTGTTCATGATACTTCAAATAATCAATTCGAATGGAAAATTTATAAAACTTCCAAATTTATTTCCACCACTACGACCAAGTCCAAGCTCCAATCTTCTCAATGCTTAGTTATATGAAAAGGGAAAAAACATAAGTGTGAGAAAATTTCAATGAGCATATACGTGTACATAAGTTTTTAATCATATAACTTGCATAAAGGAGATACGAAACTAAACTTAGGTGGTATGAGTTTTATGTGCGTAGTGCTACTAGAACTCCGGTCCAAAACGTAGAACATACATATGGACCTATAAACTTATTTTCAAAAGTGCAGCATAACAACAAGTTTATACTTACTGTTGTATGGGGAAAAATAAAGGCAATCAAATAAATGGGCTTGCTCAGTTTTCACTCCAAAGTTTTCTTCAATAGCGTGAGTACTACAGATTTTTGTAATGTGAAATATGTTTGTGTGTGAGACGGGTTGTGAGAGAGGAGAAAAAATGATGGGTGAATTTCTTGAAAATCGTGTACCTATTTATAGTATACTGATGATGCATGGGATAAATCTCATAATTTATTTAATTAAATTTAAATACTTAAAGATAATCTTAATATCCAACAGAATTTGTGATAATGTTGAATAATCATAATATCCAACAAAATTTGTGAAAATGTTGAATAATATCATAATATCTAATAGAATTTATGATAATATTAAATATTTAAAAATAACCATAATATCTAGTAAAATTTGGATAATGTTGAATACTTAAAAATAATCATGATATCTAACCAAATTTATTTATTTAAAATTATTACAATATCTTAGAGATTCTATTATTTTGAGATTCAAATATTTGTGATTAATCCCTAAAATATTAGACATTAATCAATTAGGTCCCTAAACTATACTGTCTACATGATAAGGCCCTAAATTTTAATATAATGACTAATTTTGAGGTATGAAGTATCACAATCTAC